TTAAAATTAAAGGTAGAGCTAAGATTGATCATAATGTAAAGGAATTACATGTTTTGGAAAGGGATTTTATTATATTATTATTGTATTTACTTTATTCTAATAAAATTGTCTTTAAAAAATATATATATATAAATTAATTAGACACTTCCTCCAATGTCTCACTCCCAGAATCAACTACATAAAAACACCTAATTCTCCTTCTTTTCCTTGGAGGTGCATCGTCATCATTATTCTGTAATTATTTACAACAGACCATTTAAGTAAAAGCATAAAAATCAACCAGCAAACAGAAATAACTAAAATACTTACATCATTACTATTATCATTATCATCAACATTATTATTACTCCCACTGTCTTCATCACTACCCTCCCTTCTTTCATCATCTCCATCATATCCACTCCCACCTCCAGCCTCTGACTCATCTTCTTCATCTTCTTCTTCTTTTTGATCCTCTCTTAATAACAACTTCTCTATCTCATCCAATTCATCTTCCAATTTTGAAAACTTTGCCTCATTATCATCATACACCTTGTTCAACTTTGCAACATCCATTTCATCCATTACCTCCAATATACTTGTCAGGGCCTGTACGCATATTCTCTAATTTTATTCCAATAAAACACAAAATAAAAATCTTGAACTTGTTGATTGAATTGGAGTATTCAACAAGAATATGATTTACTTACCACACTACGACTCCTATATCCTGGATCGGTGCTAATTTCCACTATGCTTTGTAACCGCCATTCTTTTAAATGAACTAGAGTGACGATGAGTGATTTACCCTTTTGCTTCTTCCAAATAATTATTGCGATTTCTTCTACTAGTTCCTTGTGACATATTTAATAATAATAGAAATTAAAATGAAAAGTATGAGATTGAGAGTTTGTTGAATCCTTTTTTTTTATGTGAGATATTTAATTGTAAATGAGTTGAAAAAAGATTAAAAGTCTTTTTTTTACGTGAGAAAATGAGTTGAAAAAAGAAGTTTATGATTGATCGACATGTACATTAATTATTTATCCTATTGGTTTTTTTTTTTGGTAGGACAGACGTGAATTGATTTTTTATTTTTATTTTTTGACAGAGTCCAAGGTGACAAAACGCGAGTGTTGTTTGGTTTGGTTTGGGTCTCCTAAAGAAGAAGTGTTAATAACTAACCAGAGGTACTTTTTTTTATTTGTATT